TTTTCTTGGTGCGGACAGAGCCTCTCTGTGGGAGGGAGTGGAAGATGGACAGACACTTCATTGGTAGTAAACCCTGACACTTTGAATAACCCAAATCACACCCAACAGATGTCAATGAATAGTTTTTTTGTTACAATTAATTTCATGATGTTTAAGTACAGACAAAAACAACCTTAGTATAATCTTTTAAAATCAGAATCTTTAAATTTATGATATGACAAACTTTTGCAGCACTAATTGCTTGTAGTGTTGTGTGGGTTCGACTAGTTTATCATAGATTAAAATTAAAAGACTTGTTTTAAAAACCAGCACTAACCTCATCATGTATTTGACCGATTTTGCGAGATTGTAAAAATGTGAAGATGCAAACATAACCCACCTATTTCACTGCATTATCAGAGTTCAATCATCTGCCTTTGATGCTGAGATACAGATGATGACCAAAGGAACAGTATCCTGTATGCAAGTGGCTGAAATGGGCTTCCTCAAAAGATTTTCTGAGCTCTGCTTTAGAGATGAAGAGCTCATACTGGCATAAGCTAGCTAATATCTTTTAAGTTTGAAATCTTTCGATGCTGTTTGTTTTTCATTTTTAGCTTACCAGAATCTTTCATGCATCTTAGTTAACTTGTGCCTTTTGTTAAATTGTCTTTACAGCAAATACAATGACGTATCTTATTAACAAACCACACTGGTTTCGATTGAATGTTATGATAACTAGAATGATAAAACTAATAGTTTTACAAAAACGGAGCAATCCAGAAATAATATTGTTAAACTCTCCATGCAGACATGGTTTGCATGCATCTTTGGCTGTTATCAAAATGTTAAGTTCCCTACAGAGCAAAGAGAGGAAGCACACCCCTCTCTCACAAAGACAAAAACAAAGGAAGTTCAGCTACTGTGTTGGACATAGACAGGAAATACTAGAGGCTATTTCCCCATCCGGCAGGAGCTATTATCGAGATACAAGCTTGCATGAGCACTCATAGCTTCATAAGGTAGAACACCGGGTCATCATCCTGTTTATATGACTTTTATTTGTGTTAAAACATGGAGAAAACCCATTCAGCACTTCTTACTCTTCAGGTTCTTGTGCAGAAGGCAGGCACACCCGAATAGAAATCACCACAACCTGACTGACAGCATAAAGCTTCACAGCATCTGTATTTCAGTTTTCAGGACACACATCAGCGCTTGATTTTGCCCACAAGCAAAATTTGAACCTAGTCTTATTAATCTCAATATTTATTATAATTTTAAAGCAAACATTTTTAGGCCTGTTCACAGGTTATATTTATTGATTATTACACTATTTTCTCCCTATTTTAAGTCAAATACTAAATCGCAGAAAACAGAGCCATGGTTTTAATGTGCAGAGTTTTAAAAGTAATCACTGTCCTGTTTGCATTACAGCTTTTTGTGCATGAAAAGGGAAATTAGATGGTAAATATATCCTGTGATAAGTAAAAAAAAAAAAAAACTGAAACAACCTGGTTTTCTGGGAGGGCACGGTCTTAAAATAATGTGTTATAAAAGCCTCCTTTGATTCAATTTCAGCATACATTCTTTCATACAATCAGCATGCCATATCATAAAAGAAGATCTGTTGTTTAGATGACCAACAGATTGTTGTATTTTGTGTTGGATTGTAGCTAAGTCATTTTGTAAGTTATATGTTCTTATAATGAAGCCACTCTTCATTCATTTCATATTGCAAACCTTTTGTATTTTTTAAGTAAATACATAAAATATGCAAACGAGTAACAGTAAGATGTTATAATGACAGGTGATTCTTTTTGGAAGTTAATCAGATTCATTATAACTGATGGCCGATCAGCAAAAGCTGCTTCAACAAAGCATTGATTGGAGTGTTTTCACACTGGTGGACCCAGGTAATTGAAGTTTTTATCCTGTTTACAATTATTTATGCCAAGAAGTTTTCTAGAGGCCAGTTGTACTGGATATGTTACATCAAGGCAGAAACAGTTCAATCTGAAAAACTCACAAGAGAAAAGACAATTAGGAGAAATGTATCATACAATTACTTTGTCTTTGGCACTCAGACCTCGGCAGGAAGCATAGCACTGAATTTTGATAGATAAGCATGAACAAGCAAGGCCTGAAACTGGTGGTGGAGTGGAGATAGATGAAGTTGGTCATTCTGTAGACTGCTGGTTAGCAAAGACGACATGCTGAGCTTGTGGATTGTGTGAGCTTATTCTAGAGCTTCACTCAGGGACCTGGAAAATGTAGGTCCGTTAAATAACACAGGTTGAGAGAACCTGTCCATCATGAGCAAGCATGAAGCAACAGTGGAGAGGAAAAACTCCCCGTTGGGCAGAAACCTCTGGCAGAACCAGTCTCAACATGGCGGTCTTCTGTCGGACCAGTTGAGATGAGACAGGGAACGCAGTAAGAGTCTGGGAGGAATGACAGTCTGATGAAGCTTTAGCTACGATGGTGGAGGAGGGGCTGTCATCTGAACAAAGTCACACAGCGCATCCACAGCCTGCGCACAGGAGCAGACAGTGCGAACTGGAGGCTTTTTAAGATGAACCTTGGATGCCGATTGGCTTTCGTGGAGGTGTGGTTCAAAGCTGATTGGTTGTATCGCAGGTGGATATAGTAGAGCAATCAGTTTCTTCAGTTGAACTTCCGCCTAGGCTCCATTTAAGGAAATTATTCAATATGTCTATATTGTTTTATTTGTTCTTGTTTTCAAGCGTTATATTTAAAATTGGATGCACACTTTGTTTAGCTTAGACTTAGAAAACTTTTATTTTTATTTTGTATACACAGAGTGCATACAAAACTAAATTTTTGTACAGCTTTCATTACATTTCCATTCCTTAAAGTGCAGCAGTGATCAAATGTAAACAGTGTGAGAGAAAAAACATGGTGCAAAAAAAAAATGCATTGACATGGAGGTTAGGAGCATCGGTGTGATGAGGAGTCAGTGATATGATTAAGAGTTTTTAAAACAGTTCAGCAGTCTGATGGCTGTGGAGAAGAAGCTGTTTCTGAATCTGCTGGTCCTGCATTGAATACTGCAAAGCCTCTTCCCAGAGGGCAGCTACAATATTTAAATCAGTTTAATCAATAAACCAACAAACTTAACTCATGATATATTAACTCATCTGCCCTAAAAGATGAAACAAAAACCGAAGTATCCTCAAACAAATCTCAAAACAACGATGCTGCCTGCATCTAAAGCACTATGCAAAATGTCAACAATTACTATAACAATTCAAAACCACACCATTTGTGGCATTATGACCTGTTTTACATACCCATAAAAAATGTGTTATTTTGTAACAGTTGACAAAAGTTTAAAATGTTACAATAAGGAAGAACTGAAACTATATTTCTCCATTTATACCCACAGAAAGCAACTTATAGATGTTTGAGATTAGCCTGACATGCTCCAAATATGTATGCATGTCCACAGGAAGCTAACCTCCTAGCTCCTTAATAGGGATTTTTTTAACTCACCTATGACAATTCTGAGGTGCTTCAGTCTCGTCAACACGTCCTTCTTGGGGTCCAACACTTTCTGTGTTGATTTTTTGACGTCCCCATGTGGCTTTTTGGAAAACATTCCCAAAGCAGGAGGCACAACAACAACAGAAAAAAAGACGGTGAGGATAAGAAGCAGAGGGGGGCTAGCGGAGTAGCACAAACAGACGATAATCTTTAACCCTCACGAGAACCTAGCCTCATTAACACCAGTCCTCGACGACAGAACCGAGAACATCCAGCGGGGAAATCAGCCCCATTCTGACTAAACTAAAGGCGAATGTGTAAAACGCAGCGGCCAGCGGGGCGACGCATATCCATCCATCGCACCCCCTCCCTTCTTCCACTCTAGTCCACAGCTCAAACGACGGTGGCTGTCATGGCGGAAACAAATCGCCATCAGATAAAAATCAATACAAATAAGTCTCAACAGTCTTCAAATCTCAATTAATGTATTGAAATATAAGTCGCATACTTTTTTTTTTAATGTAATTTAACTAAAGGTCACCAGGATACATTTTTCGACACTCTTAAAAATTCCGAGGGAATTCTCCGCCTTAAAGTGACTTCTGGGTAATGTAGTCCTAACCCTGTTTTGTAGGCCATAGGTTCTTTATTAATCGCTTCGGAGAAAACTACATTTCCCATGTCAAAGCAGGCGCATTTCTGAGATTTGTTTTTAGCATGGCAGGGACACAAGTTGTGCGCAAAGAAAACACTTTTTAATATTTTATATATTTTCCCCTAAACTCTGAAAGGGTTCTAGCAGGCCTCGCTCTTCTCAACAACTGTGTGAGTTGTTTTGCAAAACGAAACCGCTTCTTTTGCAAACTTGTGGTCTGATATCGATTGCTATCTAACTGGTTTGCTAAAATGCTAACAAAGTGCTAACTTTAGTTGTTTTTAAGTCGATTTCTTTCAAAAAATAACAAGAAAAGTAATACACTGGTTTACTTTAACTTGTATTTTTTCAAATAAGTATTTCAATTTGTTGTATTTATTCATTTATTTCTTCTCTTTTGTAATAAACATGACATGATTAGAATGTGGTAGCTTATTTAATAGTAAAGACTTATTTTAAGCAAATAATTTAATGCAGAAGTGTGTTAAGATAAGAATATGTTTTTAAACTAAAAAAAAAATTAATTTTGTCCAAAATATTTTCCCAAATTTCCATCTTGAATCCAAAATACATGAAGTGAATTCTCCATATATGTTTGTTTTTTAACATTTAGAGTCTAAATTGGGGTTGTTGGTGTGATGCCGGTGCACCGTGACCGAGAGAAGAAGGAGAGCGTAGCAGAGGAGATGGATGTGGAGGAGCAGGAGCACGAGGCTTCCAGCTCAGAGGAGGAGGAATCTGACACCTCCTCTGTCTCAGAGGATGGAGACTCTTCTGGTGAGGAAACCCAAAAGTTGGTTGCAGTTGTTTTTATAACATACGCAATGTGAACAGGGATTTGTTATTGGGATTTTATGTGATGGACCAACATATAAATATGCAGTTTTGTTAGTGAAATGAAGACACATGGGTTGATATAAGAATGTATTCCAAAAAAGTAAAAAAAAAAAAAACAATCCACAGGACTTTTTTTTCCCAATTTTGAAGGCGTTTTGCTTCCCATCCAGGCAGGTGTTTAAATTCAAAATGTCTGGATTCACGTTGAGTTCCAAGCTTTATAGAGCAGCCCTACAAAGCCTTGTTATGGCTTAGAAAACATGCATGATAGCGGGAAGGAATCCTGCTTCGCTATGCAGGCGACAAAACATCTCACTTGGTCAGCCATGCCAACAATGACCATAACGACTCCCCTTTTCAGAGGCATGGCCAGTATGAGGTATTGCAGGCCAACAACAACCTCAATGGCTCCCCATTACTAAGGGGTGGACCTGTTCTTTGCAAGTGGCTTTCTTGCATGTATTCTAAGCCATAACAAGACTTTTGTTGGCCTATTCTATAAAGCTTGGAACTCAACGCAAATCCAGACATTTTGAATTGAAAAGACTTCCTAGATGGGAAGCAAAACGTCTTCAAACTTGGAAAACAAAGTCCAGTGGGTTTTTTTTTTTACTTTTTTGGAATGACTATGACCTGGATGACTGAGAATCTTCACCAGTATATAGAAATGTAATAAAGAATAAGAACACTGTGTTACTTTTGTATTAAGGCACTATCTCTCTGTTACTTCTAAAGGAACCATGGGGCGCTTGCTAAAACCTTTAGTCTGTTTACCTTTTCAGCTGGACAATGTACGTAACAAACAGACAAGCTACTCTGAAATAATTTAAATAAAAGCTTATTTATGTATTAAATTTGATAAATCCGTTTGTGAGTCAATGGTGAGGCATGAAAACCAATTTTGATAGATGCTTTCTGTCCAATCTAACTGAGGTTTATACATTTTGAATCATGAATTTGCAAAGTTCGGATTTGCTATATGTTCTAAGACGGTAGATAAGTCCAGTACAGTATATAACCTAAAGACTTGCAGATTTAATTGCAGAAAGAAGGCGTTTCACAAATTAGGAGGCCTGAATAAGAAGGGATCAGATTTAATCTGTACCTTGTTTTAAAGCTTCTTTCCTTTCACATACTTATGTTTATGTATCACATCGAATCTAAATAATAAGGTTGTAGCGTTATAGTTGTAATGCGAAAACGTATAAGTAACTTAACACCAAAGTTTGATCCCTTTGGGTTTCTTTTCCAGAAATGGATGAGGAAGATTGTGAGCGGAGGAGAACAGCATGTCTGGATGAAATGTCCAACCTGGAGAAACAGTTTAACAATCTGAAAGACCAGTAAGACCTATCTGATATATTATCCTTTCACTTAGTGTAATAACGGCGTGTTATACTCTTTCTTGCTAATGTTATGGTGTTCAGGTTGTATCGAGAGCGACTTAGCCAGGTGAACTTCAAACTGGCGGAAGTCGAGGCTGGACGGGCAGCAGAATATCTCGATCCTCTAGCTGTATTGCTGGAGAACATGCAGGTCCGCACTAAAGTTGCAGGTAAAATTGACCCATTTACCATTCTGCTCAGTCATTTTGTAGCGTTCAGTCTTATAAGCCCTAACTGCTGTCCATCAGGTATTTACAGAAAGCTGTGTCTGGATTCTGTGAGGAACAAGTACAACTGTGAAATCCAGGCTGCATGCCAACACTGGGAGGTTAGAAATGCTGGTTATCTTTAAAGTTTATCCTGGATAGCTGAACCTTGTTTTAATTCCTAACTTATGTCTGTCCGGGCAGAGCGAGAAACTGCTATTGTTTGATACAGTGCAGAGTGAGCTGGAGGAGAAAATTAGAAGACTGGAAGAGGACAGACACAGCATAGATATCACATCAGGTAGCACAATGGATGCAATGCTGTGCTGTAATATCTCTGGAGCTTCTTGCAACACCTCTGAGTCATTTGTCTGTGTTCAGAGCTTTGGAATGATGAGCTGTCTGGGAGGAAGAAAAGACAAGATGCTTTAAGTCCAGATAAGAAGAGGAGGAGACCTTCTGTGGTTTCTGATATCCTTTGTTTCTCAATGTCTAATGTCAAAATATACTATAAATGTCTTAAGAATGCTAAGAATGTGACCTTAACACCGCTTACGTCCATATATTGTCTATATGCTACCTGATTTGGACATCCTGGAGGACTGGACAACTATCAGGAAGGTACACATGCAAGTTTGTCTCTCCAATCCTGCAGTATTAAGTGTTTTTATGTACATTTTAAAATCTGTTTTTAATGTTTGTATTTTTGTGCTGCAGGCCGTAGCCACCTTGGGCCCTCACAGAGTGAAGGTTGACGCCGACAGCTGCAGTTTCCCCTTCAGATCTGAAAAAAATAGGCCAATTCTTAACTGCTGAGAAGCCCATATGGATGTTTAAAAGCACATAAGAACCTCAGACATGCATGGGACACAAATCTGAATACTTCTACTCCTCACAGCCATTGGTAGTTAAAACTTTACATTTTAAGCTGCCAGTTTTGGAGGTTTTCCTGTTCTATTAAAAAAAAAAAAAAAAAAAACATCAGCATTAATGATCCCTTCAAATAAATGTGGCTGCTTTGGTTTAAACTCAGGCTTTTACGATTTAATCAGTATCTCTCCTGTTTGAACACTTCATTCAAAACGTTACATTTCATAAGTTTTGGGTGTAAAGGAATAATTAACTTGGAGGGATTGTTTAAAACTTCTAAAAACAAGTACCAGTTTTCTGCTTCTGCTTGATCTTTTGTATTCTAATTGGATAAATATTTCCAGCTATTCATTGTGAGTCAGTTCTCTTCTAAGCAGCTGTTATTTTAAAATCAGAGCAATAATAAATAAATAGCTGCCTGCCTTAGCCTTAAATGGGTACCATCTTGGTTTGTGGTTTTAACAGCCCTTAAGTACAGTGTTTTTTTTTGTTTTTTAAATTGTTTTTTTGTTTTTTCCAGGAAACTATTATTGTATTATAATCTCATTGTGTTTTTACACTGAGTGAAAAGAAAAAAGGAAATACAACTTCAGTTTACAGATTCAAGAGCTATTCATATGCTCTTGCTCATATGATAAGAAATGTAAAAAAAAAAATCCAGATCATCTTTCTTTTGACCTCCACACAGTTTATTTGCTCCTGTGCCAGGTACTGTTATCTTTCCTGTTAATTATGTGGATCTTTCTTTACAAATAAAAGTTTTATACGTTTAGTCTGTGTTTTACAGGGTTGCAGAGAAAAAAAACACATTGATGATTAGCTCATTCAACTAGACCAAGAGGGGCCTAAGAACACCAAGCCCATAATCTTCACAGGTCATTACATCACTTGTGTGAATTAAATATTAAACAGCTTTCCACATTAGAGCTCCCGCTGGACTGAGAATACCCAATCCATCCAAAAGGATCCAGGAATAGCTAATGGAGCTTTAAATCACTGTGCACAAACCACTATTATAAAGCTATTTGCTTTGATATTTTTAATTGAATGTATTAAATATTTGGAGAAACCTTATATCCTTCCACATGTAAAATTAAGAATATAAGACAAAGCAGGAGCAATGATGCAATGAAGAGTTTAGTTCTGAGTTAAGGGATATTCTTACATATCATTAGCTTGACTTTGCTGTTTATATATATATATATAATTTCCATAAAATAAAACCTCATAGTCATGATTCCATGCAAGACAAAAGCTGAGGTAGTATATTTAGAAAGATTTGAACGTTATCTCCTGTCGTCTTAGGTAAATGCATCCACTAAAAAGGTAAATTCAATAAAAGTACCTGCTTTGGTTTATTTGCAAAGTGCCAATTTACAACTTTCCAACATGAACAGATCCAGTTAAAAACAGAATTCTAATCAAATTAGATTCACTCAACTTATTGTTTTTGTTTTTTCACATGTTCAATAACACTGCCACAAGCTTGTATAAAAAGAATAAACATAGCAAGTTGTTACCTTAAAGGTATAGTGGGGGATCTTGGCGATTTTTTTCTGTCCTCTCCACTTAAAAATAAAGCACATGCACAACCTTGTACCTGCTCCCAAGGGGGATTACCTATTAAATGCATGCTCCATTTCTCTGTTGCAAACAGCAACTTTTAAACAGAAGCTCTGTTTAAAAGTTGCTTTTTGCATCATTCATACAAGCTTACTTTCCAAAAGAAGATATGCAATTTTTCCACAATGTCTGACTCACCCCTGGTAAGTGAAAATGGGGACGAGGGCATGACTGATTCAATAATTGAAATTTAGAAGGACCACTTATTTTGATGATTTACTGAGAAAAAGAACATCCTCCACTATACCTTTAAAAGTAACCAGTTACTTCAGTGAATGCAAGTCATTTCAGAAAGCCGTATGCAAGTTCTCTACAAGCTTCCTCAATGTTCAGGATGTTTTTTAAACTATCCTGTTAGTTCCAGCAAAAATATATTTGGTTCTGAAAAGTAAGCAGTAACCTCACTGATAGTAAGTGGCAGAAAGTTATCAGCATGGGAGGAACTCTTGAGTAAATATGATCTTACAAGAAGTTACCTGGGATTTCAGTGAAAGTTAGCAAGTTCTGGAAAGTGACTACCGTAGTAGGTTTTACAAAAGTTACCTGTAAGGTTTCTTTTATAGAACCTTTGAGGATTCAGGAATGTAATTTAGAAGTTCTAAAAAGCAAATTACAGGTGGGAAAATACATAACTTCTGTAAAAGTAACTTTTATCATCTAAGGACATAACTAAGTTCCAGGCAGGTAAAACTTGCATGTCTGGTGAAAGTAACTTGTAAATTCTGAGAAAGTTCCAACATTATAAGGCAAAGTAGAGGTAGCATCATAAATTACAAAAAAAATGTCCTTGCATCAAAAATATTAGACAATCTTTACCTTTATTTTCTTTTATTAAAAGTAAGTATTACAACTTTATATTAAGTATTACAATATTTATAATCAGATCTTGAATTTGGCCTTTCTTAATGGCTTAGGGATACTTTGTCTTTTAAAAATTGGTCTACTGTTCTACAGATTTGGTCTGTATAAAAAGTGAAGCTAAATGTCATTTATTTCTACTATACAAAACTTATGTTTCACCTTGCAGAAAAGGTTGATGATTCTAGTGCTGCTTAAACAGACCAACAAGTCTTTGGTTGGCTCTTCCACTACTTAATGACAGGCTGACATATTATAGACATCTGAGTCAGATATACAGCAGTCTCCACCTTTGCAGTATAAAATGGATAGGCATTTTTCAAAATATAGATGGTGTTAAAACATTTTTCTCCAAAACATGATTCCTAATAAATGACACGATTAAGCGAATTCACAACAAAAAAAAAACATTATTTAGTTTTAAGCTTTCAACTTCTTAGTTTTTATATTTTGGATGCATAACTATTTTAATTACTTTTTCCTTCTATAATAATGTAGCTACAACCTTTAGTGGACAAAAACTATTAAAGCGATCCATTACAGTTTACCAAACATCACAGCAGTCTTTCCCTACTTACTAAATAATTATTAAAATTACTTAATTTCTCAATATTTATATCTACTGAGACATTCCTGTATGCAGCTGGAATCAAGTTATGAATGATGATTTGACATTTTATCTATTTCCATTGAAAGATTTATTATCTATTCATTTACAGCATACAAACCTTTATGAAACATGGTTTGTATTTTTAAAATGTTTGCATATTAACAATAACTGAAGGTCTTTAAATATTAAAAACATCATTTACACAGAATTTGAAAAGAATTACAGTGAAATGTTTTGCTGATGAGCAAAAAGAAAAAAAAAAAAAACTTTACACATAGTTACATCAGTGAAATTTAGAGCAAGTTTTAAAAGTCTTTATTCATCTATCAAATAATCACTTTTTACAAAATTCACAAAGCTGATTTCTGTAGCCATAAGTGAGCCTCTCTTCCTGGCAGTCTGTATGTTTTCATTCTAAGTCACTGAAAGGGTCAGAGGCATCGATATATTGCTTCTCTTGGTTTGAAGCAAAGACAGAAGATGAAATGCCTGCTGAATTTCAAAGGGAAGAATTAAAAGTTTTTACAACTGAAGAAAACATTCTGGTTTGACCTTTGAGGAGAAAGATCATGTACACTGATGTTTTTGAAAGGAAATCATACTGAATAGAAATTCTGTTAAAACACTAGAGTGGTAAACATGAGTATTTTAGGCATAGAAGATATTTTATGACACATAATCTGTGCTCATTCACTGATCTCTCTCCGTTACTGACCTTAATTATAATTCCAAAATAAAGTAGTAATGTGTCTGGCTGATAGATTAGCTTTAGCCCACACAGGTACAAGTTAAGCAACAACTAAACAGCTGTTTTTAAAACTACATGTGGCTGGATGAAGTGGTGGAGAAGAAAGGTTTTATTAAGGCCGTCCTACAGCGATAAATCAGCCTTATGGAGATTGATGCTTCTGCTCTACAAACACCATTAAATATCTCTTCTGGTCAATAAATAGATGGTGTAGAATATAGGGGGGCTCTGCTTTCTTCCATCTGCTACTGAACTGAACCAGAAATTCATCTTTATAAAAACTGTCAGATGGCGTCTTCAGGTGAAGGTCTGTTCTCCTCTGGAGACTGGCTGTGAGGTGGTGAAGGTAGGGACTGCTGACGAGGAGGGGCGCCCATGGAAGGAGGAGGGGGCCCATCGTATCGAATAGGAGGACCATAGGGTACGTTGGGATTAGGGCCGGGAGGAAGAGGTCCACCAGAAGGGAAGCGAGGAGGAAACATCATTCCTTGAGGAGGGGGAAGCCACACTGGAAGGGCAAAAAATTAAAAACAGTTTAATTCCACACCTATCATATCCAGATAGGACATAATCTAAGTTCTAAAGGGGGCTATGAGTTCTTACTGTGCCTCATAGGAGGACCCCCAGGTATCCTGGGAGGGTAGAAATCAGGAGGGGGAGGGGGTCCATAAGGGGCTCTACGAGGATAGGGGCCATCTATAGGAATCCCTGGCGGTCCAGGTGGAGGTGGGCCGACCATCCTTGGATCCATTTCAGGGGGAGTCCTCTGACCACCAGGACCAGACTATCAACACACACATTAAATCCCTTTATGTACTACAGTGCTACAGATGCTCTATCTCACACACGTCCTGCTTACCTCTCTGTGGTCCTGATCACCAGGCCCTTGGCGGCCTTCTCTGAATGAGCCATCTGCAGTGACAACCATTTAGTTTGAGTAAAGGAAAGAAAGAATGTTTTCTAGCACATACAGAGTAAAACTACGTATTTCGCTTTCATATTGAACCAGTTTTCAGTCCTAAGGATGATCATTAACCACCCACCTGCCATGTCTAGTGGGTGAGGAGGTCCCAGAGGGAAGCCTCTAGGTGGCAGAGCACCAGGTGGGAGGGCTCCAGGAGGAGGAAAAGATCCCAAAGCACCCGGAGGAGGTCTCCTTAATATCGGACCTCCTGGCTCAGGGAAAATGTAGCCTGAGAGAGTAAACAAACATTCAGTAGTCATACATAACTTTGTTTCTGATGATGTTATTAGATCTGAAGTTGAACTGCTGACACCTTAAAAAAAAAACAACAACAAAAAACATTTATACCCCATGAGATTGTTTATTTCCTAACATTACATTCAAGTACTGTAGTATTGAGATTTGTTCATAATACAGTACAAACAACTGAACTTTATTATAAAGTGAAAGAAAAATGATACACAGTACAGTGTTCATGCCCCACACCCAGTAGTATGGGTAGTGTAAACCAGGTTTAAAGTCAGACTAACCCAGTGCAATAAAAATAATGCTGAGAGATGCAAAAAAATAACCAGCAAGTTAATGCCTAATGTGATATTTAAACTTACATAGATTTGATAATTATTTTATGTTGCTGTAGTATCATTAACTTTGACAACCATGTGCTACAACCTAATAAAGACTGCGCTTCACAGAAATGGGGATCTTACATAACGTTTCTGCCTTATGTCAACATCTCTATGAAAGAGGAACCAACATGGAGGGCGGCTGCTCTGAACATTATCAAGATGCACATGCACAAAGATGGTGATGTATGGTGCAAGATAACCGTCAACAGAAATATGCATAGTTGTCCAATTTTGGGAACAAAAGTCAAGATGCATAATTCAATTTAAGATTCCTATTCAACAGATACATACATGTGACATTAGATGTTTAATCTGTGAGAAAACAAGTTACAACTCTGTAAAAATACAGGTATGAATCACAAATGTATGAGTACAAATCTACAACCCCTGGTGAAGCTGTTACAATCCTTACCAGTTGGTGGCAGTAATGCGTCACATCCACTTACTGATCAGCAGTGCAGCAGCTTTATCAGGGATTTTATTCTTAAATTGTTGATTCATACTCATAAATCTGTGATTCCTACTGGTATTTTTTGCAGAGTTGTGACTTGTAAACTTGTATTCTTAAGGATAAAACATCTTCCTACACATTTTGTATATTTTGAAAAGGAGAAAAATACAAATCTTAAAAATTAATTGCATATATTGACTTTTATCTACATATTTAGCAACCAACGCATTTGTTTTCACTGACGATAATCTAACCCCATAGCAATGCAGCTGGTGCATGCAGACATACTGTACCTCTGACTGTCACAATTTATAATATTAATAATAATAAATTAACTTGATTGATCTCACACTGGAGAAATTCACTTCTGCATTTAACCCATCTGCTTGGGGAGCAGTGGGCTGCCAGTGTGGGGTTAAGGGTCTTTCTCAGAGACCCAGAGTGCAGGCTGTAGATATCGAACCTGGTACTTGCAACCTTCTCAGAGCACAAGAGCACTGCTCTAACCATTAGGCCAACACTCCCAAGTTTAAAGGCTGTGTCTTCTTTAGTTTGCAAACAGGCATAAACCCTCAAACATAATTTCCCTGAGACAGTCCAAAACACATCAGGTTTCTTTTGCTGGCAGTTAAGATGCATAAAAGCAAAATAATAAAAGCAATGAGCCTTGCGTTAACTTGGACTTACCAGCTTTGTTTGCGAGTTTTAATGAGAAAACAAATATTTATCCTCAGTAAAAATGATTATCATAAGATTAAAGGAAAGTGTGCTTTCAGCATTGTTGTTTTTAAACACACCTGGGGGTCCTAGAGGCCCAGGAGGTCCTGGTGGGGGACCCCTCCGATCTCTCTCCCATGTGGGAGAGATTGAACCGCTGTCTGAATGGGGACCTCCAGTGCGCTCCATGTCTGCTTGACCACTTGGGGGCTCACCTGGACCACGAGATACTAGGCAGGAAATAGGAACGGAGGAAAAACGGTCCAAACCAAAGAAGATGATGAAGACAGGGGAAGAAAGTCGGTGGAGGGAGGGGGACATTTGAACCAAAATGAGTGTGTTGAGTGAAAACAACAGAGGCAAGACAACTTTGAGTCAGTCAGAGAAACACCAAACTCCCAGGTTTACTGTCCTATAAAAGTTTTCTGTGAATAATATTGATTGGCTCATTGCAGACATCATGCAAAAATATCTTACCAAATGTACAAAACCATTCAAAGGTCTTCAAACCCCTTTTCATATTTTCGCACAGTACAACCACACTTATAAAATATAGATAAATTTTATGTGTGGTGCCACCAAAAAGCAGTGAATCATTATGAAATGAACATAAATAAAATACATTTAGTTATTAGCTCCATTCACATTCTCATCAGTTCTTACCAACCTCCTTATCTTTGCTAAGGAAAGGCATGATGGTCCCCATGTCATGGTCTACGGTGGCCTTCACAGAAATATGATTAAATTGAGCCCAATGGATTGTGTTTGTCAATAATGTAACTTTAAAGGAAAGTATTTAGGAATATAAAATAATGATACAATAATTATGAAAAAGGGGTTGATTTTAAATGCATCCCACATTCCTAACACTTTTACGAACACTTTTTATTAGTAAAAGGTTTAGGTGTTTCAACTTCACATTGATGCACTGCATTGAGTAGATCTAAAAGATGAAATCCTAAAAAAATATATTGGTTGTAAAGTGACAAAATGTGGAAAAGATGGAGGGGTATGAATGTCTTTGAAAGGTTCTGTATTATCATATCAAATTACTCATGCAGCAGTCACCTCGTCATCTCAAAAACATAAAAACTTTACTGCACAAAATGCAAATGGTTGAAGGGGAACTTGCAATAGGTGCAATAAATAAGAAAACAGATGGGAAATTTCTATCTTACCTCTTGGAGAGAGTCTACCAGGAAGCCCATCCATTAACGTTGGAGGAGAGAGGAAAGGTCTCGTTTCAGATGAGGGTCGACTCAGAGGAGAAGGGCCATAGGGGGACCTTTCAGCTGGGATAAAGGACACTTAACATTAAATCACAATTAGGGTTCTCTTAACATTGGATTCCTTGTTTTAATAAGTTTAACTCATATTAAACCAAATTTGTGTTCCTCTATGTGGAGAAAGGAAATATGTGAGGAGGTTTACCTCGGAAAGGCAGCGGTCTAGCCAGGCTGTTCAAGGCGTATGGATCTTTCTCAAGGGAGTCTAGTTTGAACTGAGTATCTGTAATTCTGAACACACAACATCAGTGTGAACACAGAAAACTCTGGGTATAACACTCTTAACATTACTCAACATTCTCTCCCTTTTTTCAGGTAAAAACTGACATTTTAGAGACTGAATTTAAGAATTGCCAGGCATTTTTTGTCTTGTTTTGAAATAAAACAGACATTTTCCAAACTGTTTAGGACTGTGTAGGAGTCCTCTATAGAGTTGAAGAACTAACATCAGAACTTTTCAGTGTATAGTTCATACTTATGGTCCACGGATGCACAGACAGAGCAGTTTGTTTTAAGACATTTAGGCATTAATAACACAGCCACTGGGACAAATAAATAAATAATAATAATAAATAATATCAGGAAAAATGTTTCCATTGGGATATCCCAACAGCAATAATCTATTTGCATATATAAAGTAATTTTTTAAAAGAAAATGGAAGAACAGAAGGAATCAGGATTAAACAGCTGCACTGAGGAAAAAAATGAGTCATATTAATAAACATACAAATGTTTTTTTACGACAATACTATGTAAAAAAGAAATAAAAACTAAACCTTATGAGTAAAAGCAAATAATGTGATCATTTTTGTTTAAGCCTCATATGCAGTGTTATGATCTCAATTATTTCAGTTATTTTATCATTTGTATTATTAAAGTTGTGATTTTCTCTAATAAGTTAAAAGAAAATTAGGGCTTTAGGTTTTTTCTATGCTTACTTTTGTCTGAGGAGGGCGTTCTCTCTTCTGATGTCTGCCAGCTCTCTCTCTGCTGACCTTACTGCTAACTGGAAACAATCAACACAGCCAAATCAGAATGTATGGAAACACATTTTCAAACTCTGATTAAACAGCAGGCCCAGAACCATTAACTAAGATTCATCAGAGCAAAGACGATCTCAGGATCCCTTCTGAGCTCAAGTGTGGCAGAGCTTTACTAACCCAGTTATTGTGAGCTTTCTTCTCATGGGCTGAAATCTGGGTCTGATATGACTGCTTTGTTTTCTCCAGCTCCTCTTCCATCTCTTCTGCTCGTTTTCTGAAAATAAAACAGAGGCAAATTAACAAAATCTTTTTTCCAGTAAATGCCAAATTCACAATGAACTTCTGTCAATAATTTTACATTGTTTATGGAAAAAAGGAAAATCAAAATGGATAGACAGACAGACAAGGAGAGGGTTGGAAGCAATTATCTTCCAGCTGTGCACTAGCTCACTGCTCACATATTCTCAAAGCACAAGAAAATCTATGCATTGCATGAATAAAATCCAACATTAGCTGTAATTCAGTTAGACCAATAGCATTTTTTTCTGTATCATCGTGAATTTGGAAAAACATTTTAGAGTTTTATTTTGATGAATATGTTTAATAAAACAGAGGTGTCCTTCAAAAAAAGTTAAGCAATGTCCTCATTCAGCACCTCACAGAAGGCTACCGATGCATAAATAAATAATCAAAAGGAGAAAAATATGTGGTGGTACAAATTATTGATCAGTCCAGGCTTTTAGAACAATGAAACTCCTTTTTTATTTGGTGCTAAATGTAACTGCATAATGAAGCAAATCGTAAACGGGGTCAATCAACACATTGTCAGATATTGTGGCTGCAGCACATAGATTTAATGAGCTAAAAGAGATCACAAAGGTTCTGGATATTTGTGCAACATTTCAAGCATCCAATGCTTTTTGAGAAAGAGGATTCAGTTTAATGTCTAAACATCCAGAAAGCTCTTTAAGACGCATATATGGACAAGCATTGATGAAGTAATAAGGAGAGACATAAATTGAATTTAAAATTTGTTCATTTTGTAAAATTTATAAAGGTTTTTTAAGTTTTTATATACTTATCTTAGTCCAAACGCTAAAAACGTGTGTAATTAAATATTCTACAGACACTGAGTCATAGGAATCTATGCTGCATCACAAGCTTCAGCACACATTTCATTCTGCAAAATGTGGAAAAAAAAGTTATGTCTGAAAGGAGTGATGTCTCATTTCTACCAGAGCAGGACACTCATCCTGGCCAAAGCAATACTGTTACATAGCATACCATATATTTCATGATAATAGTAAAATAATTTTTTGGGGTTTCATTCAAAGGTATAGTAGAGGATTTTCGCAATTTTTTTAAAAGACCTGCGCATTCTACTTAAAAAGAAAATGCATATGCACAACCTTGTACCCGCTCCCGAGGGGGAACGCCTATTAAATACGTGCGAGAGCGTGCACGAGCCCATTTCTCCTCATGCAGGCTCTGTTTAAAAGTTGCTGTTTGTATCGCTCACACAAGCTTACTTTCCAAAAGAAGATTTTTGTTTTTTCCACTGTCAGACTCACCACTGGTAAGTGAAAATGTGGACGAGCATGTAGACTTTACGTAAACATATCACCAGAATGATTGACAATTAGGAGGACTACTTATTGTGATTATCCACCCAGAAAAAAAACATCCTCCATTATACATTAAGTTGGCCAAATCATTTAAATTAAATAAACCTTGCAAATTGCTATAGATAAAAATCAAAAAATGTCAGATTTAAAAAAAATCATAAATTATGTCACTGTAGCACACCGATACCACCAACCCAAAAATACTGCATATTTGCGCCATATACATGTAATGCTCTGAACTTACTAATGTGTTTTTTGCACCATGTCTTTTCTCCCACACTGTTTACACTTGATCACTGCTGCACTTTATGACATGGAAATGTTGATCTACTGTCTGGAAAGCTGTACTTAACGAATTTTCATTTTGTATACACTCTGTGTATACAAAACGACAATAAAAGTTGTCTAAGTCTAAGTCTTTAGTCCTTGGTTTTTGCTACACGTTTTGTAGCTTTTGCGTACACATCTGATGTTGCTCACAGTGGTCCTCAGTTATCAGCTGTATGTATGCTCAGACACATGAAAAATTAGAGGGAACATTGTTCGGAAGGCTGAGCTATTTTTTTTAATAATGAAGAAATAAAATTGATAGGTTGACGGACATAAGGAAACATATTGATAGATGGAAAAACAGACAGGTGGATGAAGGGTCGAAAGCTGAATGGATGACATTACTGAATTAATGTGCATGTTTATATTAAATTAGCCCAAATTTAAATGTGTTTTTCAAAAGAGGTTGGTAACTACTCAGAATATCCAATGACAGATGATGACACAGAGGATATATTTAATTAAAAACTTTAAATTACTTCATATTCATATTACAAACTTACTCCTACTAAAACACAGCACACCCAAATATTTTATTATCATAAAACAAAAACTGCTACCTGTAGTTATTCAGTTCTTCAATCGCCATCGCAATGTTCTTATCAGCTTTACTCAACTTCTCCTCCTTCTGGTGACGCTCCTTCTCCTCCACAGTCAGCATTCTGCACAAACAACTTTATTATTACACATTCCTCATATATTTTATGTTTATGCCTAAACATGGATGTAGGAACCTGTGAAGCTTGAGCTCGTTCTCCTGGTACATTTCTGTCATAATTTGCAGTTTCTGTTGTATCCGATCGACCTGCACACATAAATGGGAACCATTAGATCAGAAACAAAGAAAGATGACTCGATTGTGTGATAAACCTCATAGCACCAGTTTGAAGTTACGTACCTGATCTGTGTAACTCTCAGTGTCAGATTGTAGGGATAATTTCTCTCTCTCCATTTCCTCAATACTCACTTTAAATGGAAATTAAGAGCAGAAAATCTGATCAGCTTCATTTTTCTCTGAGACTTGTCATTCCATCTTTACCCAGCATCATGTCTGCATGTGAGAACTGTTAACTTACTTCGCAGGTCCTCCTTAGCTTTGATCTCATCATTCAGCTTTGCAAACACTCTGTCCTTATCTTCATCCACTGATTTAAGGTCTGCATTGAGCTACACGAAGAAACATGTTCACAGTATTTAAAATGAAAGCAAAACTTAAAATTCCTCAAAAATATTGGTAAGAATTATAAAAATAAATACAGTAAGCATGTTTTAAAGTAAACTTGGTTAATTATTTATTACTTGTGCGTTTTACCTTAGCAGCAAAGATGAGTTTCTGGACTTTTTGCAGATGCGTGTCCTCTTTTCCTGCAGTCCCATTGGTTGTATCCTTTTCTCCTCCCTCCTCCTCCTCTAGATCTGAATCCCAGCATTTCATTTGAAGCAGCCGATCTGTCAAAGACTGGGGGAGGGGGATAACAAACAATTAAATGCATCTTACATAAAGTATAATGTTAATTGAACTTTTCACCAATCACTTCTCCTTTGTTGCTGTTCTCCCAACATGATCAGTGTTAATGAGAAGCAGTCATACCGTTATGCGTTCGTCTTTAACCGCCACATCCTGCATCATTGCACTATGGGCGACCTCACATCTCTGCATCTCAGCCTCAAGCTCACTGATTCTTTCTGCCCATTCCTCGACCTCCTGCTTCAACTGGTGATAAAAACACAAAAGCAGAGAAGCAATGATGCAGGAAATAAAAAATGGAAAACCACTAAATATGTTGAAAAAAATCTATGTGTGAAAGATCTCTCTTCTTAATGATCTGTACAGAATCTAACCTGTGAGTTGCTCTCCTGTAGAACAGTGTTCTCTTCTTCTGCTGTTTCCAGGTTCCGCTGTAGCCTCTCACTGCTCATACTGTAGATCTTCAAAGTTGTTTGTGCCTAAATAAAACAGAAAATTAACAACTAATAATATTTAAAGAAAAAGAAGAAGCAGGAGAGTGACAAAAAGGCATGAAGTGATAGAGCTAATCACCTGCTCCTCCTTGGACTGGAGGTCTTTGGCCTCTGCTTCACAGGCTTTCATGCTTTCCTCAAGCAAAGTTATCTTTTGAAAAAAGGAAAAGAAAAAAGAAAGACATTTATTTTTCACCTTGAACAAGATTAACACAGATTCCACAATATTTTTCAAAGTCTTGTATGAGACCCTACCTTCCTATCTTGCTCCTTTCTATGTTCCTGCTGCTGGGCCAGCTGCTCCTTCAGATAGTCAAGATCTGTTCCCAGCTGCTTTTTAGTTTGTTCTAGCTGTTCTGCTTGAACCTACAATGAACATGACAAAACATGTTTACAAAACATCACTAAGAAGTAGTCTTGCATTTTAGAATAGCAATATTCTTTATTGTTCTACATGGCAAAAAACAAAACAAAAAACAAAACAAACAACAGCAAAAAAAGACTGAAACAAACCTATGAAAACAACAAAACTCAAACTAGAACAGATTGTTCAGCAAAGGAAAACAACACGGTCCAGATGACCAAAATATGACACTCAGATTAAATGGAAAATAATAAAAAGATTAAAAGAAGTAAAAAATTGCCAATTTACAGAAGAAATTGAGAAAAAAAATGTATAAGTAACAGCTTGGATGAAGAAAACACATATAGAGCAGGTAAAAAATAAAAAGTCCAGGTATTGCTGTACAAAAACCCTTATTGAACACCATGAAGAGATTGATGCACCTTTTATAAATTTGGCTTGAGAATTCCTGCACAGGATGAAAATTCAGGGTTTTTTTGCTGAGTCAAGTAAAGACAGGTTCAAACAGGCAGATCTTAAAACTGTCCGATGGCTTTCAAAACTAAACTAACACCACAAGTGACCATGAAATAAAAAGAAATTGCGGATAGAACAGTTTTGGTTGGAATGTGTGTTCTCTCCAGCCAGACAACAAGCATACATGAGCGCATTTCATTCAGTAGGATCAGCTGTCAGACAGGATATCTTGCCAAACTTTTCGAGATGCATACAAGTGTGCACTGTTTTAGTTATAAAAGAGTCTGCACAGATTAGAGTCATGCACAGAGTAGGATATGACAAGTTGCCACAGTAAACTGACACTATTATTTTACAGGTATAAGTAAGAAAAGTAACAAAAAGTGGACGGGTAGCTCTAAAAGTGTCATGACATGAATGAAAGTTAATACTTATATTAATTATTAACTTTACATTTCAATGAGCAAATTCATTTATGTATGATCTTTTAAGCATGCAACTTGGCAACCTACAATGAATTGAAGACACCAGAAAAGGATGCTCTAATAAATGTTTCTGGTCAAGTGGAAAGATCATGCAAAAAGGTTTCTGAACCTAGCATTAATTGTGTATAATGTGCTTGCTATCCCAGCATCAAGTCTAGCTAGAGAAGAAGACTTCTCATCTGTTTGGTTTGTGGTTGATGAGAGGAGACTGAAGTTAAAAGTATTTTTTTTGGGGTCAGGTTTCAGTTCTGAGCTCTATGGGGCCGGGTGGATAAGGACTTAAAAAACCGGACTCATGTAGGGCTCTGGTGGAGCAAGAAAATAAAATAGTCTAGAATGTTATTATGGAATGTTTTTGCTCTGTTGTCCTTGAGGGGGCCACCAAACACATGCTAGGATATCAGACCACGAGAATCCACTATGATAAATATAAGATAGATATAGATATAAGATCACAGGAGTCCCAGCGTTTTTCCAACCTGATCTGATTACTCTTACCACACCACACACGGCATCACCCCAATATCGGGATCTTTTGAAAGGCAAATAAATTTGCACGATTATCTTGCTGTGAACCTTGCTTATTGTAAGTGATGTGAACATGTTAAACAATGTGAAAACTGTGAAATTGTTCAATTTGGTAGACTCATCCAGCTTAAATCATAGCTTTCAAGTCTCCTGTTTTGGCCAGGAGACCACTGTATTTTACCCCTCTTCATCCTCCCATATTAGCTGTCTCCAGTAAATTCCCTGCATTACTATATCATAAAATTCTGTGGTGAAACAAAATGGGGTATGCGGTGTACGCGGCGTATAGGGTCGGTGCGACATCAGAGGGACGGCAAATTTGCAATTGGTTGAAAGTGTTTATTTTAGATTTCAGTGCATGTGTCTTAAAGTATAACGGATACCTGAGCTCGACTGGGTTAGTTGGACGGCTCTAAGTTGAAGTTGTAAAATTTCCTTTATCTTCAAATCCAAAACTTGATAGGTATGGCCTAAATGTCAATGTATTTAAGAGTAACCTTTATAAGAAGGCACCAAGAATATAATAAAAACACATTTACAATTTAATACACCGTTTTTAATAACAAAATGAAAGTTTCATCAATATGCAAGGAGCTAGACCTCCTTATTCTCTTAAAAAAAAAAAAAAAAAAAAAAAAAACTTTTATACCCCATGAGATTTTGTTTATTTCCTAACATTACATTCAAGTACTGTAGTATTGAGATTTGTTCATAATACAGTACAAACAACTGAACTTTATTATAAAGTGAAAGAANGTCTAAGTCTTTAGTCCTTGGTTTTTGCTACACGTTTTGTAGCTTTTGCGTACACATCTGATGTTGCTCACAGTGGTCCTCAGTTATCAGCTGTATGTATGCTCAGACACATGAAAAATTAGAGGGAACATTGTTCGGAAGGCTGAGCTATTTTTTTTAATAATGAAGAAATAAAATTGATAGGTTGACGGACATAAGGAAACATATTGATAGATGGAAAAACAGACAGGTGGATGAAGGGTCGAAAGCTGAATGGATGACATTACTGAATTAATGTGCATGTTTATATTAAATTAGCCCAAATTTAAATGTGTTTTTCAAAAGAGGTTGGTAACTACTCAGAATATCCAATGACAGATTATGACACAGAGGATACATTTCATTAAAAACTTTTAAATATTTCATATTCATATTACAAACTTACTCCTACTAAAACACAGCACACCCAAATATTTTATTATCATAAAACAAAAACTGCTACCTGTAGTTATTCAGTTCTTCAATCGCCATCGCAATGTTCTTATCAGCTTTACTCAACTTCTCCTCCTTCTGGTGACGCTCCTTCTCCTCCACAGTCAGCATTCTGCACAAACAACTTTATTATTACACATTCCTCATATATTTTATGTTTATGCCTAAACATGGATGTAGGAACCTGTGAAGCTTGAGCTCGTTCTCCTGGTACATTTCTGTCATAATTTGCAGTTTCTGTTGTATCCGATCGACCTGCACACATAAATGGGAACCATTAGATCAGAAACAAAGAAAGATGACTCGATTGTGTGATAAACCTCATAACACCAGTTTGAAGTTACGTACCTGATCTGTGTAACTCTCAGTGTCAGATTGTAGGGATAATTTCTCTCTCTCCATTTCCTCAATACTCACTTTAAATGGAAATTAAGAGCAGAAAATCTGATCAGCTTCATTTTTCTCTGAGACTTGTCATTCCATCTTTACCCAGCATCATGTCTGCATGTGAGAACTGTTAACTTACTTCGCAGGTCCTCCTTAGCTTTGATCTCATCATTCAGCTTTGCAAACACTCTGTCCTTATCTTCATCCACTGATTTAAGGTCTGCATTGAGCTACACGAAGAAACATGTTCACAGTATTTAAAATGAAAGCAAAACTTAAAATTCCTCAAAAATATTGGTAAGAATTATAAAAATAAATACAGTAAGCATGTTTTAAAGTAAACTTGGTTAATTATTTATTACTTGTGCGTTTTACCTTAGCAGCAAAGATGAGTTTCTGGACTTTTTGCAGATGCGTGTCCTCTTTTCCTGCAGTCCCATTGGTTGTATCCTTTTCTCCTCCCTCCTCCTCCTCTAGATCTGAATCCCAGCATTTCATTTGAAGCAGCCGATCTGTCAAAGACTGGGGGAGGGGGATAACAAACAATTAAATGCATCTTACATAAAGTATAATGTTAATTGAACTTTTCACCAATCACTTCTCCTTTGTTGCTGTTCTCCCAACATGATCAGTGTTAATGAGAAGCAGTCATACCGTTATGCGTTCGTCTTTAACCGCCACATCCTGCATCATTGCACTATGGGCGACCTCACATCTCTGCATCTCAGCCTCAAGCTCACTGATTCTTTCTGCCCATTCCTCGACCTCCTGCTTCAACTGGTGATAAAAACACAAAAGCAGAGAAGCAATGATGCAGGAAATAAAAAATGGAAAACCACTAAATATGTTGAAAAAAATCTATGTGTGAAAGATCTCTCTTCTTAATGATCTGTACAGAATCTAACCTGTGAGTTGCTCTCCTGTAGAACAGTGTTCTCCTCTTCTGCTGTTTCCAGGTTCCGCTGTAGCCTCTCACTGCTCATACTGTAGATCTTCAAAGTTGTTTGTGCCTAAATAAAACAGAAAATTAACAACTAATAATATTTAAAGAAAAAGAAGAAGCAGGAGAGTGACAAAAAGGCATGAAGTGATAGAGCTAATCACCTGCTCCTCCTTGGACTGGAGGTCTTTGGCCTCTGCTTCACAGGCTTTCATGCTTTCCTCAAGCAAAGTTATCTTTTGAAAAAAGGAAAAGAAAAAAGAAAGACATTTATTTTTCACCTTGAACAAGATTAACACAGATTCCACAATATTTTTCAAAGTCTTGTATGAGACCCTACCTTCCTATCTTGCTCCTTTCTATGTTCCTGCTGCTGGGCCAGCTGCTCCTTCAGATAGTCAAGATCTGTTCCCAGCTGCTTTTTAGTTTGTTCTAGCTGTTCTGCTTGAACCTACAATGAACATGACAAAACATGTTTACAAAACATCACTAAGAAGTAGTCTTGCATTTTAGAATAGCAATATTCTTTATTGTTCTACATGGCAAAAAACAAAACAAAAAACAAAACAAACAACAGCAAAAAAAGACTGAAACAAACCTATGAAAACAACAAAACTCAAACTAGAACAGATTGTTCAGCAAAGGAAAACAACACGGTCCAGATGACCAAAATATGACACTCAGATTAAATGGAAAATAATAAAAAGATTAAAAGAAGTAAAAAATTGCCAATTTACAGAAGAAATTGAGAAAAAAAATGTATAAGTAACAGCTTGGATGAAGAAAACACATATAGAGCAGGTAAAAAATAAAAAGTCCAGGTATTGCTGTACAAAAACCCTTATTGAACACCATGAAGAGATTGATGCACCTTTTATAAATTTGGCTTGAGAATTCCTGCACAGGATGAAAATTCAGGGTTTTTTTGCTGAGTCAAGTAAAGACAGGTTCAAACAGGCAGATCTTAAAACTGTCCGATGGCTTTCAAAACTAAACTAACACCACAAGTGACCATGAAATAAAAAGAAATTGCGGATAGAACAGTTTTGGTTGGAATGTGTGTTCTCTCCAGCCAGACAACAAGCATACATGAGCGCATTTCATTCAGTAGGATCAGCTGTCAGACAGGATATCTTGCCAAACTTTTCGAGATGCATACAAGTGTGCACTGTTTTAGTTATAAAAGAGTCTGCACAGATTAGAGTCATGCACAGAGTAGGATATGACAAGTTGCCACAGTAAACTGACACTATTATTTTACAGGTATAAGTAAGAAAAGTAACAAAAAGTGGACGGGTAGCTCTAAAAGTGTCATGACATGAATGAAAGTTAATACTTATATTAATTATTAACTTTACATTTCAATGAGCAAATTCATTTATGTATGATCTTTTAAGCATGCAACTTGGCAACCTACAATGAATTGAAGACACCAGAAAAGGATGCTCTAATAAATGTTTCTGGTCAAGTGGAAAGATCATGCAAAAAGGTTTCTGAACCTAGCATTAATTGTGTATAATGTGCTTGCTATCCCAGCATCAAGTCTAGCTAGAGAAGAAGACTTCTCATCTGTTTGGTTTGTGGTTGATGAGAGGAGACTGAAGTTAAAAGTATTTTTTTTGGGGTCAGGTTTCAGTTCTGAGCTCTATGGGGCCGGGTGGATAAGGACTTAAAAAACCGGACTCATGTAGGGCTCTGGTGGAGCAAGAAAATAAAATAGTCTAGAATGTTATTATGGAATGTTTTTGCTCTGTTGTCCTTGAGGGGGCCACCAAACACATGCTAGGATATCAGACCACGAGAATCCACTATGATAAATATAAGATAGATATAGATATAAGATCACAGGAGTCCCAGCGTTTTTCCAACCTGATCTGATTACTCTTACCACACCACACACGGCATCACCCCAATATCGGGATCTTTTGAAAGGCAAATAAATTTGCACGATTATCTTGCTGTGAACCTTCCTTATTGTAAGTGATGTGAACATGTTAAACAATGTGAAAACTGTGAAATTGTTCAATTTGGTAGACTCATCCAGCTTAAATCATAGCTTTCAAGTCTCCTGTTTTGGCCAGGAGACCACTGTATTTTACCCCTCTTCATCCTCCCATATTAGCTGTCTCCAGTAAATTCCCTGCATTACTATATCATAAAATTCTGTGGTGAAACAAAATGGGGTATGCGGTGTACGCGGCGTATAGGGTCGGTGCGACATCAGAGGGACGGCAAATTTGCAATTGGTTGAAAGTGTTTATTTTAGATTTCAGTGCATGTGTCTTAAAGTATAACGGATACCTGAGCTCGACTGGGTTAGTTGGACGGCTCTAAGTTGAAGTTGTAAAATTTCCTTTATCTTCAAATCCAAAACTTGATAGGTATGGCCTAAATGTCAATGTATTTAAGAGTAACCTTTATAAGAAGGCACCAAGAATATAATAAAAACACATTTACAATTTAATACACCGTTTTTAATAACAAAATGAAAGTTTCATCAATATGCAAGGAGCTAGACCTCCTTATTCTCTTAAAAAAAAAAAAAAAAAAAAAAAAACCTCTAAGAAAAATTTACTCAAAATAGATTTTAAAAAATTACTGGATGGAAGCATTAAAAGGATCTATGTTTTTTAGTTTCACACAGGTTTCTACACGTCATTCCAAGTTTTTGCTCCCTTACCTCCAAATGTTCTGATTTCTGAGTCTGAGCGAGGACGCCGCTGTCCCTGAGTAGGTTCTCCAGGTCATCATACTGCAAATGTCACATTATGAAGAGGTTACTCTGACTGTCCACAGATTTTATTTGAAAAGAAAATACATTAAAGAAGACTCTAGCTGTTATTATTAAAGTTTTATAGACTTTTTATAAGTTGTGTCTCCAGCCTGCAGTAAATCTAACACAAAGTAAGCATAAGTACCAACCTCTTGTTGACACTGACTGAGAGTCTCCAGGACTTTACACTTTTCATCCAGCAGCTCTTCAACTTGTTTAGCCATCCTCTGTTCTTTCCCTGTAGAAACAATAGTTTTTAAAATCAAAGAGGATTTCACCCTTTTTTGAAATTTAAGGCAAGGCCTGCATGATGAAGCAGGATCACAGGCAGCACCTTCACATTCGTTTTAGCATTTTTAATATCACAAAGCTGATTCTGTCACCATGATTAAATGCAGGAAATCTAATCGTCTCCTTCTGAAAAGATATCCTCATCACACTGCAGAATTTACTACAGTAGCATACCTTAAGCTTTATTTTCCACAGTGATGTACAACATTACGCAGATAGGGAAAAACTATTTACAGTTTTAAGCAAGATGTACTTGGCTGAAATGGTTTAATTTGATCAATTACTGAACAAACTGTCAACTTCTTTAATAATTTAGATATAAAAATAATAGTTAATAATAATAATAGTTATGTTAGTTGCAGCCAAATTTATAAAAAATAAATCCTACTTTAATAATATTTGGCTGCATATTTATTTGCACATAGCTTTGTTCCCACCTCGTCATTAAAGTGAGTCTAACTCCACTATTTTTACTTGATATCAGAGATAGGGACTCTGGGTTAAAATATGAAGTTAATAACCAGCTCATAGCTCATTTACAAATGGTCTTTAATGCTTTTATTTGAAAGAAAAGGGGGTTGGTTAAACTGCCACTGTAATACAAGCACCAGCAGACTAACAGTAGTGAGTTTATTTATAAGGCAAAAGGTATTTAAAGTAAAAACTTACTTCGATACAGTCTGCTCTTTATCTGTGAAGATAAAAAAGAGAGAAAAGATGATAAAGAAAATTGCCAAAAAACACTATCCAACACTATCCAGTGAAGACATAATTATGAAATAGATTCAAGAAACAAAGATGAGAAGACTGAGAGCCCATTTACTGACCATTCTTTTGAATTAGAGTTATTGTCTAATGTCTGTTTTGTTTAATTTTTCCTTTAAGACTACGGAGCAATAAAATAAACATCATTACAGCTAACTGCTCATTCCTCTTTAAGATATAATTTAGCCAACAATTGTGTTGCTAAAAATATTTCCTTTTATTTTTAATGGTTAAGCTACAAGTCAACAGAGCCAGGTGAATATTAGCAGCCAGCTACTATCATTAGTTGAATTGCTACTATTTGCTGTTATATTAAGAAATGCTTATGACCTTTATACCAATGTGGGTAAATAGATCTGTGCATCTCTGTAAACACTTGCTGCTCACTTACAGATCTGTAACATCTACTGGTGAATAACAGAAACGTCAGCAGCCCCAACAGGCCGGTGAAGATAACAGGTTCCCATGGTACACCGTAGAGGTCTGGGCCGGGCCTCATGTTGTCAGGCAGTAAGGATACAGCCTAGAAAGACGGGTAAAAGTAAAGTAATTTAAAACTTCAATCATATACAATTGATCGTAGTGTTGTGAACATTCAAATGCCATGAAGCAATCTCCAGTTCCTTGTGCCATTGTATTAAATTTTCATCAGTTATAACAAGATTTTAACCAGAGAATTTATAGCTTACGACATTAAAAAAAGACTTTCAACCTTCCTTCTGTTTAATAGGTTTCCATTAAAATGATTCTTTAGTGTAAACCCATCATTTCAAGTTAAAAAAGTTCAATGATATAAGCTTTCCAATGACAGTTCCCCTTGTATAGAAAAATGTGTTAAAACAAAGTTATGAAACTTCAACTTTGTCAGCATTAGGTACAAACTTTCATTTTCCTTACCTTTTATTTTTACTTTTAAATGCTTTAAGTTTTTGATGGGGTTCTTTTTCATATCAGTACAAAAAAGAAATCATCTGCTCTTTACCAAGTTCCTAATTATTTCAGTTTCAGTGTACAAAAGACATGCAACACATTGAATGCCGTCGTGTGATAAACTGTTTTAAGCGAAAATAGAACAAAAATAGCTCTGCTGTTTTTGGAAAATTCCTTAAGAAAATTAGCAGCCAGACACTACCAATTAAATGGATTAGCATAACTGATTTGATCTAGCAGCTTCTGGAAAGCAGAGTTTAGATTTGATGGCCTAAAGCTTTCAGGTATTGGAAAGATAGCAGGTTCACCAATGACTTTGTGGAAGAAATTGTTGCAATCAGTCAATCTAAAGAGGCTTAAATGCCATTTAAAACTACCAATCTATAGTGAAAAAGATTATTCATCTATCAACCTTTCCTGGAATGAACATTGCAGCAACATTATGCCATAGTCAAACAAAAAACTTTGAATTTAAACTCTCAAAGGTAAATAAAGTAAAGATTTACCCAGAAATTGATGCACAGAAACCAAATTGTTCAAAAAACAGTTGGTTTGCAAAGTTGCATCCAAATAATATGATCTTTAGAAAGAAGAGGCAATCACAGATGAGTGGACAAGCCACAAAGCACAATGCCACATTATGTGAAAGCTGCCAACTTTGAAGCACGGTGATGGAGGGATGATGATGTGAGCTGGCAATGCAGACTCAGGACCAGCAAATCTTTCTGTAATTAAGTTGGCCATTGACTCCTCTTTACGATAAAAAGAGTTAAATATAAAGTAATTTATCCTATGGTTAAAGCTTGGGCCAAACTAGGTAATCAGCAGGAGATCACCCGAGATGCAGCAGCAGCAAATCTACAACTGAATGGGGAAAGAATAAGACCATCAAATCCAAACCAGAATCTGATTGAAATGTTTAGAAGGGCCCTAACGAAATCGGAGAAAAAATTATTCTCTATTAGTCTCCAAGAAGATGCCAGAGACTGCTAACAAATTGAAAAATTATGTAATTAAAGTTACTGTTGTGAAAGGGGGTATTAGATTATGGTGTACATGTTTCACAAATGTTTGGGCTTAATCAGTTTTTAACAAACTATCTGTAAAATAAAGTTGTTAAACACCAGATTTTTATCATCACAAATTTACAAGTAAATTAAATTCCTGTTTAAACAAAAAATACAGGAACTATTAATTATTATGGCAACAACTTTAAAGAAATCCTATTTAACAGCTGTTCGTGGGAGAGCTTTAAAGCCACTGTCTATGATCACGGAAGAGAATGCGCCAAATAAACAAACCAAATGTTTTTAATTTCTTGAAATTAAAAACCAAAAGATGAATAAGTATAAACACAGAGTAAAAGCTGTCTGACTGTCCCAGCTAACTATGCTAATAACTGTAATATTGCTTAAAAATGAGGCACGACCATGACCGAAAATACAGCAATGTCAGAATAAACGCCTAAAAAGATAAATACTTCGGCGTGTTAAAAAATATCCGTTACATTACTTCTGCTCTAGTGGATAAATGGGAAATGCTAACCAGAACCTGCCACATATTGACGTACATCTTTCACTTTCTCCACGGCGGTGTTGTAGTAAGTCTCTGCTGCCGCCTGGAAGTCGGCCACTTTATTGGCCAGCTGCACATTTTCTGGACGCTCCGTCATATCCAAATTATTTCATTTGGCTTAATATTTACAAGGAATTTCATTAATACAATTAGAAAAAATATAAGCTTCTCACAGCCGGGTTAACGGCTAGTCCACATCCTATTCACAACACCTACCCTCAGGACCGTACCAACTCTTCAAGCCGTGGGGGTAACCGTGTGAATATTAAATATTCTTCGCCTACTCAGGCTAATATTTTAAAGATATAAATAGCATAAATATATATTAAAAGATTTTAAACGTTTAGTTGCGAAAATAAAACTACAATTATTTATTTGAATATTGAATGTTAAAAAAATTGTGTATAATCTTTTCCCCTACTGTTGTAAATGATTTATTCCAAACGTCACCAATTGTAAGATGCCACACAGGCACATCGGAGCGCTTTTAAAGTGACACCGAGGGAAACAGGTGTTACTCAAATAATAACTATATCATATACTTTACATATTTTATACAGTTTATGATTTTATTGTTTTCTCAAAATAAATTTAAACAAATGTGTTTTATACTTACAATACTGAACAATTTACATATTAGGACCGGTTTTGTGTGTCTTTTGGTGATGACAGACAGCCCTGTTTAAAGTACGGCTTAAGCTTTAAATTTCAACTCACCGACCTGGTTACACTTTTATCCATCTGAACATAAACTATCTCCTCCCCTGGAACACCACGTAGATCCAAATGTGAGAAGCAATATGTCCGTGTAAGCCAGTTTGACAACTGAGACTATGGCAAAGTTGAATTCCAACGGTAGAGTGAGATCAACATGTCACATGTCTTAAAGAACCAGGCCAGCAAAATCTACTTATGGCCTGTAAGATTCAAAGGGTGATCTATGCTAGATAAAAATCTATTTTAACTAATATAACTTTTTCTCAATTATTCTCACTTTACCTTCTATTTTTTATTCTTAATCTTAAATTCAAAAGATGCTTCTGCCTATTTAAGTTTCCCTCTCATTTTAAATAAAAAAGAAAAAAATATAAAAACTATTTTGATATCCACAAATGACTTGTACTTGCTTTTTTGTGAGTTAGACTTGGACAAACTTTCTTGTTATTTTGTATACACACCCTGTATACAAAACACATTTTTGTTTATACCGCTTTCCGACAGTGAATCAGCAGCAGCTTAGCAGTGAAGAAGAACATTTCCATTCATAAAGTGCAGCAGTGATCAAATGTAAACAATGTGGGAGAGACATGGTGCAAAAAGGCATTGATGTTGAAGGTTCAGAGCAGTGCAAAAATAAATACATATATGGTGCAAAATGCAGTAAAAAAACAAAAAACATTTGAGTTAGGTTCTATTTTGAAGATTCAGCATCAGTGGTGTCAAAAGTACACACATTTGTTACTTAAGTAGATGTATAGATACTGCAGTTTAAGAACACTCTGGTAAAAGTTGAAGTATCAGCTTGACCTCTTTACTCAAGTAAAAGTGAAAAAGTGTGCTCCAAAAACTAATTAAAGTATAAAAGTATAAAGTAAGCTTTAAAAAAAAAAAACAGCCAGATCCCAATATATGAATTGAAAGTAACAAAGTATTTGTATTTCATTACTTGACACCTCTGTTCACCATGAAAGTGCAGGTATGATGTTAGGTTGCAAATGCAGTCTAATTTCTTACCTGTACAATTATCCAAACAAGGATCCCCATCACTGCCTTAGCAGAACTAATGGATTCTTCAGCAAACCAAAGAAGAAATTCCACACTTTGCTTGATTAACCCTGTAGTTAGAGTCACAAAAGTACAATTTTATCATAACATTATTCATTATGCCATGATTATATTTTTTTGTGTAACGTATGTGTTAGTATTTATTACAGTAATAACCAAAAGTATTGGTCAGATTTGTTTTGCACAATTCAGACATAGCTGGCAAAAAGTTTCAGTTTATATAAATATCTCCTCATATTTAATTATGTTTCTGTATTATATCCTCTCATACCTTTCTGTTTTGATCCTGACTTAGTGTTATGCAGAGATATCTTTTCTTTACTTCCTTGATCTCTTTCCTTCTCCAGATAGCTCCAATCTTCATTTTCATTGGTCCGGCTTGAACTGGGCCCAGCTACATTTGACAAAGGAACATATAAATGCCCACTGGTGACAACAGACTTGAACTGACAGATTACATTAGATTAAAACATCAATGATATGAGCCATTATAGTTTATGCAATTTGGACAAAAATACCTTGATGGTTACTGACATCTGATATTCCTGTGCTGACAGTGTCCTTCATTGATTTTAATAATGTCTCCAGCTTCTGAAGAGCAATAATTGTACTGGTTCTTTGTTTGTCCTCCTCTGGTGCATCAGATCCCTTCATACTGGGAGCAACTAGCATCTCCATTTGGTGCTGCAGGAGTTCCTCTATATCTGAGAGTATTGACTGATCCTCATCTGCAGACACGGCCTCTGGGCTTGTCAAAATGTAGTCCAAAAACTGCAGCTTGTGTCGACCGAAGAGTTCAAGCAAAATAACCGTTTCATCCGCGTTCATGTGGTGGTGGAGACTTTTATAATCTTTGCTGAAGGTTTTTGCTTCTGTGACTGAAGGAGCATTGTGGAGGAGCTTTTCAGCAGAGATAGGATGTGACTGCGCCTGCTCTTTGGGAAATCCTGTGTGTGTTACTTCGGTGTGAAGTGAATCTGTCAAGGCATCAAGTCCTGGAGTAAAAGAGGCAAGAGGCTCTGTTGTCTCAGCTGAGTTTGTGTTGAAACTCTGAACAGTCTGTGTGGACTCATTCATTTCAGGGTTGGGCGTTTGGGAGAAAAGTTCAATGGCATTTTTTAAAAGACCAAAAGCTCCTACACGTTCTTGGCTTTTATCGTTTGTTCCTAGAGGTGGATGTGCAGACTCACTTTGCTCAGAACCCTGAACTTGACTTTCAGCAGGGTTATATGATTCCTCTCCTCCTAAGTCTCTGTGAAACTCATTTCCAGAATTTTTATTGTCAGTTTTCTTGATTTCTTCTTCAAAACCAATGTCTTCCTTCCAGTTGCCATCCTTCCATCCTCCATCCTCAGACCCACCTACATTAACATTTCCATCCTTCACTTCCTGTACTGGGTGCTCTTTGTCAGGCTCTGTAAAGGCTTTGTTCACCTTTACCTCTTCGTTCTCATTTTGATTTTCAGTCTTCTTGTTAGTTTCAGAGACCAAAAAAGGAAAATTGGAATCGCCCAGCATCTCTTTAGTATTTTCTATCTCTGATCCGCGGATGTTGATCTTCTCATTCTCCTGAACCTGTTCTTTACCTTCCTTTTCCTGGTTTTCATTTTGCTCATACTCCTTAAACTCATCCACTTTGACATGATTTCCAAGCTCGACTGAGTTTTTCACAGTTTTCTCCTCCTCCATTGGCTCAAAATCTTCATTCTGGGTCTGTTCTGTTATCTCTTTTCCCCCTTCTCTGCTGCTCTCCCCCCAAACCTTCTCCTTTTCCTCCTTCTGGTTTTCATTTGGGTCCTTAAATTCCTTTGGTATTTCCAATATGGGCTCCTCATGCTCTTGTGACCCATTTTCATGGATCTCTTCCTCCTTCAGCTCCTCTGCCTCTTTTTGCATTTCTTCTTCAAACTTTGTGTCACCCTCCCCAGAAAAGTTTCCCTTCTCTTCTTTTTCATTTTGCCTCTCAGATTCCTTCAACTCTTCCACTCTGATATGATTCCCATGCTCTGGAACTTGTTTGTCTTCCTCCTGCATATCCATTTGTCTTTCTACCCTAAACTCTTCACTTGGGCTATCCCCAGAGATTTCTGCCATCTTCTCCTGATTCAGCGCTTTTTCATTTGCCTCCTTTGATCCTCTGTCTTGCTCATGGTCCACTGTTTCCCATTTCTCTCCCTCATTTAGTTCCTTCACTTCATCCTGCCTTTGTTCTATTAACCCCCTCGCCTCCCCAGAAACACTATCTAACTCTTCTTCCTTCTTTTTCTCAATTTTTTTAATTTCCTCTAATTGTTTCTGCTGGCTCTCTTGTTTTACTTCTTCAATCTGTTCTTCTACCTCTTTTACTTCTTCCTGTATCTTGACTTTTAACTTTTCTTCTTCCTTTGATCCCTTTGTTAGTTCAGTTTCTCTTTCAAAACCTACTACTGATTTTATTTCACTTTCATTAAAAACTTCTTTCTCAGAATGTGTTTTTTCCTTCTCATTTAGTTTAGTTTGATCTTTCACAATTTCCTCCAGTCTTTCAACATCCCTGTCCCTTTGCTCTTTGTTTTCCGTCTGCAGAAACCCCTGGGTTTCATGAACGGTTTGTGTGGTTTTATTTAAAGTCATTATTACTCCATCGTCCTCTGAGATATTGTTATAAATACTTTCAGGATTTCCATAAAATGAGGATCCATCATTCTGAGAGCTGACTTCTGTGGGATGCATTTCTAGCTGCAGTTCTAACTCACCCTGACGGCTCTCTGTCTCAGCCTTGCTCTGTTCATCATTTTCTCCCTGATCACGACTGACTTCAGTCTCTTCAGGGGATTCTTCCTTCAATAGTTCTTGTTGAAATAAACCTTCTTCTGTGGTTAACTGCTCCTCTTCTTGATCATCACTTCTAACAGGACTGTTTTCTGACATTAGAGTGGATTCTTCATACGTATGAAGCTGTTCTTTTACGTCAGCCTTTCCCTCAGTCAAACTCTTTCCCTCTTGCTCTACTCGACCTTCAAGTTGCTCCATCGAGTTTGAATCTAACTCCTTTAAACTGCGATCGATTTCTTGACTCCTGATATCATTTTCACCCACAACATCCTTGTTGGAAACTTCAACATCAGTTTCTAAAATATTTACATCATTTGTGTCTGAATTATCTACATAACTATCTACAGTATCCCCACCATCATTACTGTCTGGTGGTTTAGACTCATTTTCAAGCTCCTTTATTTGGGATTCTTTTTCAGTTTCTTCTGATAATGAACCCTCTGATTGAGCAATATGTATGTTTTCCAATCCAGGAGGTTCTTCTAATGTTTGGTCCGTTTCTGTCTCTTTAATACCATTTCCTGTACTTCCGCCTGCTCCACTTTTACTGTCATCAAAGCCAAAAATTCCCTCAGTTCTCATCTTCATCCAAGAGCTAGAAGCCACCTGATCCTCGGTTTCCTTTCCTTCTCCTCCTGAATCTTGTGGACTTGATCCAAGTCCCAGCCTGCTTGACAACCTGCTGCCCAGCCAGGCTAACGTTCCCATGTCTTCCTTCTCCTCTTCTTCCTGTAATTTGCTGCCTTCCAGGTCCAGAGACATCCTCCTGCTTCTAAACATCTCTGTGGGCTCTTTCTCATTAGCTGTTTCAGTAATTTCCTCACTTGCTATAGCAGCAGTTTCCGTCCCCTCACTGAAGCCTAGCCACCTTGTCATTGTTGAAGTTAAGGAATCTTCCTGGATTTCCACATGATCTTCATCACTGTCATGTTTACCTTCTCCTCCAAAGCCTAGCCAGCCAGTCACAGATGATCTGATTGAGGCTTCTGGTTTAGTCTCCTCCTTCTCATCTTCCTTCTCTCCTTGTTCTGAATCCCTTAACTGCTCCTCTTTTCCGAAACCTAACCATCCCGTCACAGATGAACGCAGCCAGGAGGATGAGGGGGACCCACCTTGTTCTTCTGGAGTCGCTGAAGCCTTAACTTCATCCCTGAGCTGTTCGGCCGCATCCACGAGATATTTGCTTCCATCTTCATTATCTCTTTCTTTTACTGTAGCTTCGGTAGACATCAAAGTAGCTTGGGCATTTTTGTCAAGAGTGTTTGTGCTGGTTTGTGTGGATTCTGGCTCCTGTGTTTGAGAGTTATGATCATCAGAGTCCAAATTAGTTGTATCGATGGGATATCCAGACTCATCCATACAGAAGAAATCAGATTCCTGCCGAAAAGTAGGAAGAAAGTTAATGGATCTGGAAAATGTTAGTACCAAGCCATCTAAGATCTCATAAACCTTCATGGGATTATTTTAATGTGTGTTTTTTTTTTCCAGCACTGAGATTACCTGGGTCTCCAGCACTTTCTCTGTTTCTGCAAAAACTTCTTCCACTTCTACTGAATCCTTTGGGAAGTAGCCAAAATGTTTGTCAATCTGAAAGGAATAAAATGAGCTTGTATTGAAAACAGAGACATATCCATAAATAAAGAACACAAAACCTAACACTGTAACAGCAACATACATCCAGGGTTATAGACTTTTTTTTTTTTTACTTAAAACTCAAACAGCATGAAATAACTGAGTGAAAAGTGTTTAAAATGTATTTTATTTCTATAATTAACTATACTACACTATAAGCATATGTGTACTTTAGTAGGACTTACTGTAATAGATTCAAATAAAAGAGTACATACTGTAACTATGAAGTGAATAATGATAGAGAGTTTCCAAACTCATTATCCTTAAAAATTAAAGTATTTTGAGTACATATGTTTAGGCCTTTTACAACAAAATTGTTAAATAAAATACATTGCAACTAATTTCTTCCTCCAATTTAAGTAGAGTCCACCTATTTCTCACTAGTCTGATCTTGCATCTAAGGATACAGGGAACAAGTAGAAGAACACGCTCAGGTCAGATGATGCAGAATTGTACATTTTTGTCCTACAAGCAAAATGCTTTGTTAGTTGGAAGTACCTAAATTAAACCGACACGTTACTCCCGCTGTGAATCATTGTGATGGCAGCATTCTGCTGTGGGGAGGACCTTCAATCAGCAGGAACATAGAAACTGTTAGAGGTTTATGCAGGGAAGGATGGAGCTACACAGAAGGAAATATTGTAACCCTGCTTTTGTTTGCAAAAGACTCAAAACTGCGGATAGGGCTTCATCTCTTAGGATAAGCATCAGTTGACAATTTAGATCAGAGAATATGGTCGAAAGTTCAATCCGCAATCGAATTTAGGGAGCTGTACAGAGCTTGAGAACGGATATTTGTAGACAGTCACCATCTTTCTGACTGAGCTCAATCTATTTTCTAAAGAAAAGTAATCAAAGTCCTTCTAGAGAAAATCTTAGCCTTGCAGCTCTAATTCTAGTTGTTCATTACAATGTGTTGTTCTTTCACATTAATTCCCCTAAAAAAAAATAGGTTATTGTTTATGCTTGTAGCCTGACAAAATGTAAAGAGGTTCTTGAAATATTAGGTAATTTAGTAAGTCGGCGTAATTCTCCGTTTATCACTCCTACCACTACTTTATAGACTAACAAAAATCTGGTGCCAGAAAGCAGGCCATTGATAATATATTCCTCTTAACATTCACAACCTGCTTTGTGTCATAATTAAGACTTACTAGCACATTAACCAACAACCTAACATAAGGGGCTGGATGTATTAGGTAGGTCTTTATCTTTTATGACAACAATATGATTGTTGGTGATACAAAACATACACTGCCTGCCCAGAGGTCTTCACGTTTCCCTGTAAGTTTGTGGTTAACAAAAATGATGTCTCCTTTTTTGAAGTTCAGGAATCTGCAGTCCTTTCCTTGGTGGTTCTTAATAGCCTGCACTCTGCTCATTGCACCTAAAGAAGGAGACACATTAGTTAAAGAAAAGAAAGTAAATATAATGGTGATCATCATGTGGGACCTTTAGAGTTTGTAATGAATCCTACAGGGATAGTCCGTGGCCTGCAACTACTAACAAAGTATTTCAGACTTACTGTCACATTCTGGATCTCCACAGATCTTGTAGTCTGACAACAATCCCAGGTTTGTGTGTGGAAAAATCATAAAAAATACAATCCAAAAATAGGCTTCCATATTTTTTAAGTTTAGAAAAATAGAGTCAGATTAAAATGTCCATTGTAGGGTGGAAATAACTCATGTCAGTTAAGCTAGCGAATGGACATTGCCTCTGTGCTGCTGTCAGGAGAGCTCAATGGCATATGAAACAGTTGAGATAAGATATAAGGCCTACAGAAAGATAATCATTAACAAGGACTGACACGATCATTTCTCCGGTCAATGGTTCTCTTTTTTTCAAACCAAGATCTAGGATTATTTTGGTATATTTGACTGTATTCAAAATAATCACATATTTGTATGTTAATATCTTTGTTTTCATTTTGTGGACTTCAAACATTGTGAAAGTTGTGGTGCATTCCCGTCCTCGTCAGAAGTTGGAATTTATAAAATTCAACACACAATCGGTGACTATTGAAATTCTGTCTTAGAGCTTTTCTTTCTTTCTTTCTTTCTTTCTTTCTTTCTTTCTTTCTTTCTTTCTTT